CATGTGCACCACGCCCGGATCGGTATGTCAAATCTTTAGGTGAGTCCTCTCTACATTTCATTTGGCATGAGGGTCCAAATGCAAAGATCATGTAATGGTTGATACACTGTGTCAACTTGAGAAGTCTAGAAGCTTAATTAAGTAACTCAGCACCTCTATATCCTACTGTGTAGAAGATATGGCCTCACTGCTCTAGGATGTTGTACATCCCTCAATTTGAGAAGTTTTGAAGATTAACTAACTGCAAGGGGCCAAGGTCCTCACTTTGTAAACATCCTGAGCCTGTGCAAGAGGAGGGCACCAGGATGGTGTGAAAGCGCTACACCCACCAGAGGGTGGGTAGCCAGCATACAATACAGGGGAGGAAAAGAGGCTTGCTCTCTTGCTCCTCCCTTTTTGCTCTTGCTGCTTTAGCTGTGTTCTGCCACCCTGAACTGTTGCCCCTGTGCCAGGCCACCCTGCCTTGCAGCCAGCTGATTATGGACTGAAACCTCCACAAATTGTGAGCTAAATAAACCGTTCCTCACTTAATTTTGGATGTCAGGTATTTTGTCTCAGCCACGAGAGGAAAGTAACCAAGACAGATCACGATCTTTTCCCATGTCTTTCTGCTTCTCTGGCTTCATCCCCCACATATCCATTCTCTGTTCCTTTCTGATTCAATCATTTTGTCTTTAAATAGCTTACATTTTCCTAAGATTCTACTCATCCTTCAAGCCCGAATGTCTCTTCTTTGGTGACCCTTTCCCAATTCATCCAAATACAACTGAAATACCTCATCTCCTGTCCACAGCACTCCACACACATCTTAATTATAGTACGTGTCTGTCTCCCCTAGACTAGCAGTTGTTCAGGGCAGGGAGTGTCACATATTCCTTTCCCATTCTCAATGTCAGCAGAGTTTTGTATACCCTAGATCAGTGGCAGCAAACCTATGGCATGTGTGTCCCAGCTAGCTGTTTGTTATCACTGAAAGTTCTAAAAGGTTCGCCATCACTGCCCTAGATGCTCCATAAATATTTGGATATGACCACATTTCAAGAAGTCAAACTGTCTCACCCCTCAGTGATTACTTTTATCTTTTGGTTCTACAGCTGTCAGACAACGTAAAATCTCAAAACTATGTTATGCTGCCATAGTTACCCATTGTCCTTTCAACTGTTCTAATTTTCTTTGCCTAACTGGGTTATAAGCTGCTTCTAAGCAGAAACCAACCATGTAGTGCCCGCCTGTGTCCATACACTGTGTTGAGCATGGTGCTGAGCACATATATTCTGAACATATACCTGGTTTACACTGATGGATAAGATCCAGGAGGAAGACTGACTAGCAATCCAATGACCCGAACAAGCAAAATTCCCTGATGCCTTCTTTCACTGTCCCTCAGCTTTCTTCAATTTTTCTGTGTTCCTGCTTTACCCTGGGAAGATAAGGGACAAGTAACTATACAGTCATCACTACACCCTCTGTAGGCAAGGAATACAAATTGAACAGCTAGTATACTAGAAAGGAAACTGAGCGAACTGTGAGAAAGGTGGGCTCAAGTTTCCTGTCTCAATTAATTTGCTCTGTCTACTAAATATCTCTTAAATACCAAGCACTGTTCTGGTGTTTTATAAGAATACAAACTCATCAATACAACAACTTTATTGGGTAGGTACTATCATTATCCCATTTTAAGGATGAGGAAATGGGTTAGGACAGGTTAGGTAACTTACCCAGGGTCACAGAGCTCAGAAGTAATGGAGACAAGGAAAGCTAAGGAATTGGGCTCCATTTTCCTATCCTGTCTTACCCCTCCTGTTCAAGGGCCTCTCATTACAGACCTCATACCAATATATACAATACCTAGAACCTGTTTTATTAAGTCATTATCTTCTTAGCATTCTCCATTTAAGCTGTAAGATCCTCAGAACCTTAGCCTACGCCCTGCTCAGTTCTATATGTACGGCAAGTGCACACCTACTAAGAAGTTCTTGCAGTGTTTTGTTTGTTTTGTGCCTTTGGGGATGAAACCCAGGGCCTTGAATATGCAGTGGACATGCTGTACCACTGAGCTAAACCCCTACCCCTCTTGCCATGTTTTAAGGAAATCTATAACTTACTACTTTATTTTGGACACATCACCTGGGCTCTCTGAGCCTTTTTCCTTAAATGTAAAACGGGATACTAACATTACAGCCATGGGTTTTGGATTCTACTGATCTGGTTACAAAACTCCAACATTTACAACTACATGATTTTAGGCAACTTAGTTAAACTTTAGTTTCCCATGCAGCACGGGAACAATTATACACGACAGTGAATTAAGAAATCAAGCACTCCCAGCAGGGGGTGGTAGCCCACGCCTGCAATCCCAGCACTCGAGAGGCTGAGGCAGGAGGATCGTTGTGAGTTCAACACTAGCCTAGGCTACAAAGTGAGGTCAAGGCCAGCCTGAACTGCATAGCAAGACCCTGTCGAAAGAAAGAAAGAAAGAGAAGAAGGGAGGGAGAGAGAAAGAGAGGGAAAGAAAGAAAAAAAAAAAGAAAGAAAGAAAAAGAGAGAAAGGAAGGAAGGAAGGAAGGAAGGAAAAATCGAGCAAAAAAAGAAAGAAGAAAAGAAAAAAAGAAAAGAAAAGAAATCAAGTACTTGGGTGCAAGAGGTCCATGAATGGAACCCCAACACTCAGGAGGCTGAGACTAGAGGCTGAGGCTGGGGGCTGGTGAGTTCAAAGTCAGCCTGGACTAAGTATCAAGGCTGGGTCTCAAACAAAAGAACTAGACATTGGATATAAAGTATTTAGCTTAACTCAACAAGTGTCAGCTATAACTATCCTTGCTGCTGAAGGTGAGAGGCCCAAGCGTGGATACTGCAAAAATGCCAACAAAAACAACCTAAGAGCCTCTTCATCAGAAGTCAAAGAAAGGAGCAATCAAGCAAACACGTGTGTGTGTGTGTGTGTGTGTGTGTGTGTGTGTGTGTGTATACCACACACCGACACCCAGCACACACCGGTATCGCAAGACCCCGAGTGAATCCTGAAGGCTATTCAAGGAAAGGATGGACCCACGTCCTAACCTCCTAAGGACTCCCGATTTGGCAGAAGGGATAAGCCTCTGACGTGTGAAGACAACGACCAAAACAGCGCCCGACAAGGGAGATGAGGACGGACAGAAAGCCCGTGGGCAGCTGAAACCGGGAAAGCTCGCCTCAGCAAAGAGGGTGAGGCGCGCGGGCCAAGCTTCGAGGACCGCAGGATTCGGACGGACGGAAACAGACCTTCCAGAAGGCACAGGCTTCTCCTTCGAAGCCCTGCGGACTTCCGGGACTCCTTTCTCCGGAGGCGCGGCGGTGCTCGAGTCTCGGCGGCAGCGAAGCCCCCAGACCAGACGCGGGGAGGTTCGAGTCGGGGTGAGGGGACCGGGATAGCCCAGTGCAGCGTGGCCGAGCTGCAACAGGAACCCGCGGGGAGACGTCTCGGAAAAGCCTAGCCTCTGTAACTCCCGCCGAGCGCACCATAGCCGCCAACCCCGCCGCGCACGGAGCCCCAACTTACCGAGCGTCAGCTCCCGGGCTCTCCAGCTCTCCACCCACCTCAGACCATCCACCCCGACGGCGCTTGAGCGACGGCCAGCGACAGCCAATCACTGTCCTCTGTTCGACTGGCAGCCAATGGTCGCTGCGCCTGACGGAACCCGTGCGCACCAAAACACGGAAGGGGCGGTAACGGTGGGTGGGATTGAGCGTCCACGGCTGGAGTGAGGGGCGACCGGATGCGGCAAAAGGTGTAGGCTGCCGGCCTTGCAGGGTGTGCTAGCGGAGAACTTGGGGGCCTGAATTTACCCAACTGCGCAGACTCGGCGTGCGGGGCCTAGTGGGCATGCGCAGGGCTCTGGCGGGGGGGACTTGTGGGGGTCTTCCCGATCGCTGGCTCCAGGCTTTAGTTAGCCCGCCGCGTGGGCGGCACGAAGCAGATGGTGTGGGATGCTCTCTGTCCAGTGCGGCTGCCAGGCTCTGCCCTAATTGAGAACCTTACATCCATCCTTCATCCTCTTAACCTTCTTTTAAATACTGGTATTCCTGTGCCCACTTCCCCGCTAATTTCTGCCTAGTTTCCAGGCTTTTTGAACGCCCTGTCATCCGTCCAGTCTTTTACTTCAGAAACCGAGTGTGTAGCCTGATTCCTCCCTCACTCGTCACATCCAGTCCGCTGCCAAGTTCTGTGGAGTCTATCTTCTTAAAAACAGTATCTAAAACTTATCCCCCTTTATTTTCACCTCCTGCAGCCTAAACCATGGGTGCGGTCCAGCCCAGATTTCTACATTAAACTAACTGGTCCCACTGAGATTTGCGCTAGCTTCCCACCAAAACATCCTCTACGGAGCACTCAAAGTGATCGTAACAAAAACCGCAAAAAGCAAATAACAAAAAAACCCAGATCTGACCGAATCACTATCCTGCGTTATCACACTGAGGCTTTCTAGATCCTTCAGCATCTGGGTCCTGCCTTCTTCATTCGTATGTTGAGTCCTGCTCCATCTTATTTCCACACCTAACCACCTTCAACCTCTTATCCCTTGTACTTCCTCTTTTCTCTGCTCTTTTCCCCGTCTCCCTGTCTCAACATTTATGACTGACTGCTAGTCATTCTGGTATCAGCCGAGATGCTTTGCTTTGCTTTCTTTTTTTCCAAGAGGACTTCCTTGACAGTCCTTTCCTGTATTTGCCAATACGGGTCCAGCACACAGTATTGTATTCGCCCGTTTTCTCTTCTACTTTCTTTTACAGACTCCCTCAGCGAGGGAGAACAGGGATTGTATCTATTATTTCTGCACTGGTAGAACCCCATCACTTAGTCCAGTGGCTGAACCTCTGTAAGGGTTCAACATATTTGCTAAATAAATTCTGTACCTTAGTAATGTTCATTGGGATTGACATTTTATTGTAGTTTTCTGTATCTTCTAACCCAGAAATACCGGATATCATTTATATAATCAGAGAAATACATTTCAATATAAATAAAATGAATTTAAAGATATCATTAACAGTGGTAAGGTCAGGGCTGGGAGTATTGCTCAGTGGTACAGCACTGGCCAACAGAGGCTCTGAGTTTGATCCAGCACCCTCCCCGCAAAAAAACCTGTGAATTTTTTTGTTGTCGTTGATACTATTGTTTGTTGCAGTAATGGGGATTGGACTCAGGGCCTCAAACATGACAGAGAAGTATTCTGCTGTGAAGTTATATCCTCAGTATGAATTTTGTTTTTAACAGTGAATTTTAGCTTACTCCCCATTTTAAAATAGGATTTAAAAAAATATAATTGAAAAATACAAAATATATTTTACCAACTTGATTCATTCAGAAATGCATGTAGTAGAACTTCATGAAATGCCAACCTCATTTTAATTGAGACTTAACACCACTGAAAATGCCTCTTAGCTTTATTTTAGCAGTTTCGTGATGAATAAATTCAATCACAGAGTTATGTGAACTCCAACATAGGTTTTAGAGCAAAGATTTCAGTGTTGCTCTAGAATCCATCTATGTTTCCAAAATTTAAGGCAGTTTCTTGCTGTCTAGCATAGTTTACTTCTATCTCAATCTGCTTCTATTGAAAATAAGCCAAATTTTGGCTGGCTAATGCAGACATATTCTGAGATTTATTCTTTAAAAGCTGCCACAAAAAAGAAAATTTAAAGCATAATTTATTCTCATTACAAGCTGTAGATCTCTAGTGTAAAATGGAATATTAATAGAATTGTTTTATTTATTTATTTATTCGGCCTCATGAATGCCAGACAAGCACTTGGTCATTGAGCTACATGCCCAGTCTTTTTTTTTTTTTTGGTCTTTTTGAGACAGGATCTCACTATGCAGTTCAGGCTGGACTTGAACTCACTTTGTAGCCCAGGCTGGCCTCAAATTCACAACAATCCTCCTGCCTCAGCCTCCGAAGTGCTGGGATTACAATACACTCCCAGTCTTGCATTCATTTTGAAAATCTATGTTTGAAATGTGATTGGGCTCATCTTGACTTTAACAATGTCTCTTTCCATTGATCTCTGGGCAACACAGCACCAGACACACATGTCCAGTAGGACTCTATCTGCCCTCTTATCAACAAGTTTCCTATGAAATTACAAAGTCAGTGTGTTTACCTGTCTTTAATACTGGTAAACCAGCTGCTCCAGGAGAAACAGCTCGAAAAATGAGTTTTCATGACCTATTCTTGAGCATTCCTATATAAAAGTAACTAAATGCCCAAATCCTGCCACTCTTTCTGAATCCTGTATATTCCATGACTAATACAGAAAGGAGCATGGAGAACATTAATGGTTCTATGCTATCTGTCTAGGCATGTGCCCTGAACTCACTGTGATGCAAGTCACAGAATGTCGAGGATAGAAGGGACCTGACTGATGATCCAGCCCATACTTACTCGAGATGAGACAACTGAGGTCCAAAGAGAAGTGGCCTGCACACAGTCACTTGGTGTGTTTGCGGTAGACTCAGTTTTCCTACCTGTTGCCTCTGTGGTCTACCCAACATCCTGCAAAAGCTTACCTGGTTCAAATCCTTGTAAGATCTTAGAGGACAAAAACCAGGGACACAGAGATTGCCAGTACCTATGGCTCCCTAAAACTTGCCCGAGTTTAGGAATAAAAGACTCTGAAACAATGAAAGGCATTAAGCCTTCTCCCTCCCTATTGGTCTCTTCTGAAGCAACAGTGAACACTTAGCACTGACTATACGCAAGAGTTCTAAGCACTTTACTCATTTACTTCTCATCCACAACTGAATGACAGCTGTTATTATCATTATCCTATTTTTTTTTTGTTTTCTGGCACCAAGAATCAAACTCAGGACCTTGTGCTTGCCAGGCAGACGCTGTGCCACTGAGCTATATCCCCAGCTCCATGATTCTCTTTTTACAGACAAGAAAACTGAGGCACCCAGAGCTTATATAACTTGCTTGAGGTCATATAGGCAATTAATGAAGCTGGGACTCAAATCCAGGCAGTCTGGTTCCAGAGTTAATCCTCTGAACTGTTGTCCAGAAAGGAGCAGCCTGTTTGACAAAAAAGGGATGAAGATGCCTAGAGGAGCCACTTGGCTTTCTTTCTGCAACTTCACCTTCCAGAGATTCTTGTCCCTCCCATCATCCTGTCTCTACACATCCCTTCCTCCCTGCAGGACCATCTGTCCCATCTCGCTACCTACCAGCACCACAGCCTCACTGCCTATTTGTCTTTCAAAGGATAACCAGTTGTCCAGCTTATAAACTCCAATTTGACTTTAATTTAATAAATTAAATTCCAAGCCATCACACAGCAATGGACATCATCATCCCCCAACATACAGAGGTGCAGCCGTGCTCTTGCTCATCATCACAGTCTTTAAAGCCCCTAAAGCCGTGTCTGTGGACAAGGCTTCCCACCAGGCTCCTGGCTCCCTCCTTCCATCTGAGCCACTGCTCATGGAGAAGGCCTCAAGTACAAAAACCAGTAAGAAAAGGGAAGGCAGGGATGAGGAGCACAGGGGAGGCAGGGAGGTGGGGAGTACCTGCCTCCCATCCCGGGCACCGGCCCGGCATCCTATGAGCTGCCAATGTCCTCAGAGGCAGACATTGGTGCTGGTCTGAGTGGGGACCTGAAGGAGGTGTGGGAACCCCTCCTGGGAATTGCCTACCCTTCTGGGGCAGAAAAAAAGGGTCACCTGGGAGAGATGCCCTCCGTCATCTGTTCACTGAGGGCCCTAGATCACACATATAAATAGAAAAGAGAATAAATAAGGGAGGAAGGATCCACTGAGGAGCTGAGCACCCTGGAACTCCTCTTGGGGGGGGCCAGTGTCAGCAGGGGGCAAACACTTCTGAGCAATGTCCCCAAATACAAAGGAAAAGGATCCCTAATACTTTTTTTTTTTTTTTTTTTGTCTTTTTGAGACAGGGTCTCACTATGCAGTTCAGGCTGGCCTTGAACTCACTTTGTAGCCCAGGCTGGTCTCGAACTTGCAATGATCCTCCTGCCTCAGCCTCCCGAGTGCTAGGATTATAGGCATGTGCCACCACACCCGGCCCCAAGCCTACCTTACTCCCAGCTACCAACTCTCTTTTTCTGTGCCTGCAGCAATGGGTGCCCACCTCTCAAATGTTTCCCACCGCAAGTTCCCTTCCAACCAGTCCCACAGCCCAGGGTGGACAGGGCTTCCTGGAACCCAAGGGCTTTCCTGACCCCAGCATTGGGAATCCAGGAAGGGGTAGAGAAGGGGATGTGGGGAACGAGCTGAGAGAACTCTTGCCCTCTCCTAACTCAGGAGGTGAGGCAGCCCCTCAGAGCTGGGGGCTGGGGTTGCCATTGGCCTTGGGTTTGGATTTGAAGGAAAAACGCTTGATAAGACGGCGGGAAAAACTGCCAGCCTTCTTTCGGACACTGGGTGTGCCCGTCGTGTTGGAGAGGTCATCATGTGATTGGCTCAGGCCAGCTTCCTTCTGACGAGGTCTCCGGCGGAAGATGAGCTTAGTGCCACTGCGCAGGAAACTCACTG